TGATAGTCCTTCAGCTGGCGATCTTCTCAGCGGGGACCACAGCTCTTCCATGCTTCCCGATTTCTGGCAACTTGCATCCAATGTATGCCACGTTGTCTGAAATATTTTGAAAACGAGTCGGCCACCGGGTTTGCGGCCGCCCTAGCGGTCTTTTCTTGTTTCTTGGGAGCCATTCTGTGACTCGGAGGGCTCGATCTATTCGTAACTAGTATTCAGTTGCTAGTATGAAGAGTATGCCCACTAATTTGGTCATTCTCGTAGATCGGACCCAAGATAGACCTAAAGACATGGAAGTCGACAAGAAAAACCAGAAAGAACCGCGGGAAGGCTTTTTGGATAACCTAGTATCGGAATATTTATGAGAGGTCACGACTGAGAACAGGGTACATCGTTGATCGGTTCCTTTCAAAAGAAAAAAAGAGTTCAAGTTGGGTGCCGGCACTTATTTTCGCCAGCTGGACTTCTCATTTTGCAAGTCTGAAATTCAACAAATGGAAGCAGAAAGCAGCCAGAGATTTTGTAGAGCAGGTATTTTTCTTTCGGACGGTATATAACGCTATGTGGAAGCATGGAAATTCAGAGGAAACACTATCGTCTAGAGGAAAACGCCATTGCTTACCAGGCAATCGGGCTCCGCAGTAAGCCAACTTTTTTTATGAATCAATATTTTCGACTTCCGAAAATCCTACGTTCCCAAAGATCTTGGCTTGAGACATTTCTGTTTTGCGCTACTTTTACATAAGAGGGCGGTCACCTTGGACAACGCAGAATAGGCTAGTAATGGGGGACATCCTACATCAATTCTATAAGTGTTTTTTTTACAATCGCATCAACTTAGGGGTCAGGCGTCAGCGACATCGCGGTAGAAAACTAGTTTTCGGCAATTCTAGTGTAGAGTTTGCTATCTGCTTCAATATCAAAGCATTTGCGCTTGCGCTCGCTTTTCCATGTCTTTTTTCACTTGTTATAGTCGATTCACATTTTGCATGCAATGCAAAATCCTGTACGCAAAATATGTAATTTTGCATGCATAACTTCGCTAAACAGTATTCTGCATTTGTTTGCAGAAGCATTAGATGTGATCTAGCTGCTCTTGTTTCCAAACTCAGGAGGAGCCACAGCTCTCCTCGCGTGCACCCTTCGACGCAACACGTTTTGATTCTACCCAATAGTTGCATTCCTAGACTAAAGAACAAGGTTAATGATGGAATTCGGGTGAACGGTAAATAAGATATAACTGAAAGATGTGGGCAACAAGCTCTAGCTTTTAGTGCGCACGTAATTTAGCTGGTATACTGAGCGACAGGAGTATGCAACCCCCAATCTATGACTTCTCAACCCCCCCCCTCCTCCACCAACTTTCGCCCAATACTGACCGACACTTCTTGACACCATCAAACATCATTTCAGAGAGGTCTTATCTTCACATTTGGCCAAACAACGCTTAGGGATCCTTAACTTCGGCCAACCCTTCCCAGGATTTTTCGAAGTTAATAATCCGTAACCGCACATGAGAAAGAGCGTTGCATGGTGCTTGTAAAAGGGATCAATCCTAATGTAATCAGCAAAATTTCTAGAAGAACTGGGATATGGTCAGGATTTTTTGGCCGAAATTCACAACTTGGTCGAAAACTCTCTTGGGTAAATTTACAAAAAGTCAAAGAGTTTTTGAAGTTTTACATCACTTCATAATTTATTTATGTATTTCCTCTGCCGTCCCTCTCACGCAACGACAGTTTTGGTACAAAGAAGGCAGGAGATACTATGGCGTGATGTGGCTGAAGATTTTGGTCGAGCAAAAGGGATCTTGTTGGCTGCCAAATTTCGACTCGTCGCCCAACGCTCTCGCACTAGTGCAAACGCTAGCCTGCGAAGTAGCACATCTTCTAGCATATACTGAGAAGATTCAGCATGTGCCGATGCCGGTGTGAAAATCTCGCCATAGAACTCCATGCAAGGTCAGCCTTCGGAATCCAATGGGATCGATTACGCAGCATCGTAACGGCGTTCAAACCATGAACCGTTCTACATCGAAATTCATTTTGTAAACCGAATCATACTTAAATACGCTGTGATTTATAGAAGAAGAAAAGGTGGCCCACTCACTCTTTAATTGTCTTGTGTTCCATTAACTATGCAGACCGTATTTATCATTGATTTCACATCATTAGGGCTCGAAACATTTATACAGCTGTCTCTGCTAACTATCTGGTTTACAAAACCAACTGAATAAGCCCAGGTCTGGCGCTGCATTTGCAGGTTTGTGGTGTTTTGAACTATTGTGAAATTGGTACAGTACATGGTACCAGGGATCACATGTTGTACCATAACAACATGAGATCACGCGATGTTTTGCAAGAGCGTGATCTCTGGTGCGAAGACGTGTGATCCCTGGATAGCCCGGATGGCTAGTCATCCAGGCTATTGCGCAAGCCAAGAGCGGTTTGTTTTCACGTCTCGCCGTCAATCGTCAGAGATGCATAACGATCGAGATATTACATTAGATGAGGAGGGAATCAGCTCCATGCGATTCAAGAAGTCGAAGAAAAGGTCTACCGGGAGGATGTACTACATACTGTTATTTTCTCTAGATCCTAGAGATCTCAATTTTATTATTCAAGCCGTTAAGGCAGAAACGCCCTCGTCTTCTCAAACGCCTGCAGCTTCGCACTCCTTCAAACGAGAAGGATATGGTCGTCAGTTTGACTTTCAATAACACGATTATTCGGAAGCTAACACCGTTGCAGAGTTTCGAGCAGACTAAAGCTATTGTTTCGGAAGTTATTCAGGACATCACGGTCAGAAACGAAACAATCAAAGATTGCAGACTCTTATCCAGGAGATCTTTCAATTCCTGGACAGTAGAAGTAAGTCGAAGTCGTTGAAGACAATGGACACAGGACATGAGCAAATATAGATAAGGGAAGATGCGGTGCAAAGCTGACGCTGAAGACTGGAACCCAGAGGACCGTCCCGGAGTCCCTTTATGCCGGTCCATGCAGCTGGCAGTTTCTTCTTTTGTCCCCTTTCGACTTCTTACTCCGGCGAAGGAATGCGCACGTGCTGTGACGAGCATCTGAGATTCCAATCGATTAAGCTAATTCAGACTAACATACACAATGATTAATAATATTGCTTATAAAAATCGACCGTGAGATCGCGGTAAAACCGCGATATTCCCCAGCGCCAATTATTCACCTCTCTTCCCAGAAGCGTCTGAGCTGGTCTTGCCAGTATTCCATCCTCTCCCGAGCCTCCCATCTGGCGCGAGTTGCTGCTCGAATCCTGCTGCGAACTTCATCGCTACGGTCGGGAAGTTTGCAAAGGGCCGAGTGATGACCGGTTTGGGTGCAGTAGAAACATCTCTGAGTGTACTTGGTGCATGCTTCAGTTTGAGGACAGTCATTTTCAAGACAACGTTCGCATCTGTGATCTCTGGACACGATGCTCTTGCGATCATCTATTGAAGTGACTACGGGACATGAGTCAGAATAGTGCACTCCCATGACGCCGCAGAATGTGCAGGGCATGAACCTCTCTTCCCGTTTCGTGATCTTTCCATTTCGAGATTTCCTCGAAGGACATGTCTGTTCTTTATAGAGGTCCGCCACGATGTCATCTAGATCTATCATAACTTGTCTGGCGCTCCGCACTTCCCACTCGATCCGGCGCAGGTGTATTACGTGGGGTGGGTCACCTTCAGCTTCTCCCTCAGGTGCACGTTGCTCATTTTGAGGGTCATTCTGAGGCGCATCTCCGAGGTCTCTCGGATCGCCCTCTTGCGCATCCCCCTCATCTCTTTGGTCATTTTCAGGTGCATTGACCTCCTCTTGAAGGTCCTCCTCGTCGTCAAATTCTTCATCTTCGACGAGTTCTGGAATGGACTCCTCCATCGATTCCGCATCATCAGGTGCATTGGGATCCTCTTCGTCGCCCTGGTGCACTCCTTCTGCATACTCGGCGTTCTGCTCAATGATCTGCTCTTCCCTGATCTTTTCGCCGACGAGGCCCTCCGCCGCCACAGTAGCTTCTGGATGCTGGCGCATTCTTTTGTAGATGTGCTCCGGCAATTCGTCAATGGCCTCCTGTATACGTTTTATGCCAGTGCATATTTCTTGCTCAAAACGGGCTTTCTCGTCCTGCTCATCGCACTGGAAATCTCTCTGCAGCTCTTGCAGCGAAGAGTTTATCCCTGCGATATTGCTTAGTTGGTCGGCTGCCACCTGCTCGATGTCGTTCAGCTTGACCAGTAAGGTCTTACCGTCGATAGTCTCATGTGGTGCACGGATCAAGCTTCTCCATTCGCTTTCCTTCATTTGGTGCATTGCTATTAGAATTGGTGGCAAGGTGTATAGGGTGCGTAACTGAGTCCGAACGTAGAGGAACCGTAGTCGCAGGTGATCCGCGTGCAATTCCAGGTATTGTGCTTCGTGCCGCCTGGAGGGTAGTGGTTCTCGAGAAAGTCGTAGTGCTCTTAAGCGCTTTTCAAGGGTGACAACAGCTTGCAAACAATCATGAAAATCGTGACAATATCGAATGATCTTATCATGCAGATCTGTCGGTGCAGGCAGTGGTGGAAGCGCCTGCTGAAGTTCACGGAGTTGCTGCTCAGCAGATCCTCGTTCGGGTTCGGTGTCCATTTTCTAAATTGGTGCTCGTGGTAATAAAAAGAAATAATAATACATATGTTTTTGTGCTCTTATTATTTTTTTTGCTTTATAGGTACCTTCTAAACCTAAAAACCGTCGCTAAATTCTATATGTGGTTATGAATATGAAAAATCCCATCATTCACTAAGGCCTAAGATCTCTTCTTGGCCTGATCATGCACAGTGAACGGTTCGCGTTTCAGAAAGCGAAGCATGGCGCATACTGCACGAAATGGGGCGCAAAGGACTGCTTTCAGTATGCACAGTATGCCGGTGAAAAGGCGCAACCCCATAGTGCTGATGAAAATGTAGGTCAGGCCCAACAATAGAGCTACTGTTACCACCGTTACAAGGAGAACTTTATACCATCCAAATATGACATCTTTGATGTGCGCAAGATCGGGCCATTCGAACTCGTTATAAATTGTGCTATTACCATCGAGCATTGTATATTTGGGATAATCGAAATAATTGACATATTTCAGGATTCCGCTGATCTTAAAGCCTTGTTTTTCTCGACCGCACGTTATTGTGCATTCAAAATGATGACGCGCTGAATCTAACTGAAAATGGAGGACAGACTTGGGTCCATCGGGAGCGCACGGTATTACGAATGAGTGGTGCGCGCAAAGAATTTCTCCTAAAGTACTTTCTTCCGAGGTGCATCGAACCATAGCTACCGCGCCTTTTGCGCAGCGGTAACACCCTTTCAAAGTAGTGTCGCCTACGGCGCAGTGGTGGTTGCTGATTTCTACATGTGCAGTGTCCATGGCGCGATGAAAGTTGATTACGATTTCTGAGGAAGCCATTTGTGGGATTTTTGCGGTCAATGGTGATTCTTTTCCCTTTGAAAGTTCCCAATAGGCTGTTTTTATAGGCAACTTTTGCTGAATATTGCCAAACTCTTGCGCAATATCTGAGTCGTCGCATTCACACAGGACTTTGAATTCTGCGGGAGTGCAAATACAGTTCTCCTTAAAGGTGCAATTCAACGACTCTGCGTCTAACCGTGATCCACACTTAAGACTTGGAGCTACTGCTTGAGTTAATAGCGCAGTTTCTACTCCGTCGGTAACAAACTCACTGTTAAGTTTCGGTGTGGGAGGCAATGTTAACAGCGTCATAGTTATGCGCATAAAGGGTAGACTGACGGGAACGTTAGGGTGAACGTCCACAAAGAAATGTGAAGAGTTCCTCCCTGTAAAAACTTCCTCCAGTAAGATTTCTAGGTGCGTTGTTTCTGTCCAGCGCATACATCGAAATACTTCATAAACCTTTGAATCGCGTGGTCTAGCAAATATTCGATAAAAAAGGCAACCGGAACTTGGATAGAAGCAATCGCATCCAAATCCCCCACAGGATTCGAAGCATTTGGTTTTTCCCGGGTATATGTTACCTTCTGCCAATTCTTCTATTCAATGTGGAGGTGTTTATACTCGCGCATTTCTCATCACCGCACGATCCCATGGTGGGGCATCGCTTGCTGTCCACGACTTCAAGGACGGTCGAGCGTGTGAAATACAAAGTTTCTTGCTCGCATTTCAAATATAGCCCTTTCCAGCGAATTTTTAGATTCGCTATCAAAGTCGAATTTTTGATAAGGCGCAAGCAGGCCTCTTGTTTGAAAGTGTTCAGCTTCAGAACCTCTGACAATGTCACCGTGCATTTCTCGCTTAGCTTGCTTTTTGTGCATTTAGTAGTTTGGTGCTCTAGAATGTCGACGTCTTGGCAGGCATTTGCAACTAGGGTTTCCGGCAATATGAGTGTCATGGCAATAGCGAGCGCAACAGTAAATCGAGAAATTGATGTCGCTCTATTGCGCCTTCGTGCTCGACGAATCAGTCGTAGGCAACATTCCCCTGCGCACGCTAAGGAGTGCACTATGAGATATTTCAAGCTCCCAAAAATGATGCGTATTGGTTTCCCAATCGTTATTGGGACATACAAAAGTACATAAAGAAGAGCCACTATGGTGTACAGTGCAACTCCTAGCGTAAGAATGGCTCCAAGAGGCCAACATTCGGGATTAAATAAGACCGATGCGCAGATTCGACAATCAATATTTTCACAAAAGTCAATGGCTTTACACGTTGTCTCAATTACGGCTAGATGACCTCCCGCATCCCATTTAAGTAGCACTTCATAGTCGTGTAAAGTTATCTCGGGAGGAAACTTAATCAGATGGGAATTTCCGGCAACATATTGGAACTTGCACATCTGATCTGCACAAATTTCAAAGTGCTGCGGTTTTGTTGCATGGATAGTGACCCCTTTCTCGCCGCAGGTCAGGCGCAAGGAATCTGTGGTATTGCCAGTTACAGCAGGAATGAAAAGGATGGTCATAATATGGAAGAGAAACCATTTAGGGGATGATCTCCTAACAGTGCACATAGTTGACGATGTGACTGCTTGGTGCTCGTACGTGATGGTTTTCGTTTTCTCAAATTATAACGGTGGGTACGTCCGTCTGAGTCCCCTTGGTGATATTCGGTGCTCTCGACATTGGTTGGCTCCAAATGTGCTGGTGTTTGGGTGCCATTTGAACGAGCTTCTTGGATTTCAAGGGGCACAAGTAAATTTATTGGGCGGCGAATTTTCCTTTTTGTGCTCGTAAGAAGTTCAGCCTCGCGTATTTCGCCATCGGTACCGCGCTTAACACTAGTTATACGACCCATTTTCCAATCGTTTCTAGGGAGCACGGGGTCGCAAACAAGGACTATGTCACCGATGTCTGGATTTGCTTTACCCTGGCGGTTATTAGAGATGTTTTTTCGATGTGTTTCGCGCAAAGCAAGCAGATACTGTTGCCGCCAAATTTCCCAGAATCGCTCTGTTTCTTGATGAGACGAATGTAGCGACTCTATTACTTGCTGCCGGTATTGGAATGATCTTTTCTCCTGAGGCAGATAGTCAGGGTCGTGGTCGGCCACGGCGATGGCCTCGGAAATAGGGAGTGTCAAGGTCATTTCTGGACATACAAAGTCTACCGGTCGAATGGAGCTCATTGTTTCATGTGCAGCGCCCTGGTAGGTGAGTGGTCTAGAATTGAGACTAGCTTCCACTTCGACAGAAAGGGTTAGGATGTCGTCAAGGGAACGACGATTAGATCCTCGCAATACCTTATAGATAGCGTGCTTAATAGACTTAATAAGGCGTTCATAGAACCCTCCCTGCCATGGCGCATACGGTGTTATGTTGTACCATTGAATTTCTTGATTGGTTACATAGCGCCTAATGTCAAGATTTATCTCGGGTGCTGCTTGGTTTAGTATGTCCTTAGCGAGCAAGAATGTGGGTGCATTGTCACAGGTTATTGTCTCTGGAAGCCCTCTACGCGCTATGAATCGTCGAAGTGCATGTATGAATTCCCCGGTGGTCATGCTTCGTACGACTTCGATGTGAATCAAACGGGTAACTGTGCATGTGAAGATGCAACCGTAAAGATTCACCACTTTATCGTTTTCCTTACATGAGGGGAGATCAAAGAAGTCTAGGCCGGTATGCTGGAAGGGACGGCATCTTACTACTCGTCGAGAGGGAAGATCTGACGTCTCTGGGTAATGGTATGGTAGTGCGTTAAAGCGTCTGCATTTGACGCAGGAATTGATGACTTTTCGCACTTGTTGGCGCAATTTTGGTACCCAGTATTGCATTCTTACATTACTAATTGTATGTTCAATACCACTATGATAGTTTTCATGACTCGCGCGGATAATCAGTTGGGCTAGAGGTGTATTGGGTGCAATGAAAAGGGGGTTTTTGGCCTCCTCTCCAATTAGCGCATTTCCTAACCGTCCTTTTGATCTCCATAGATGGTGCTCATCCTCATATAATCTTAGAGTATTTTCCATTGACTTTCTGTACCTGTGAGAAAGGTGCACCAACTGATGATTACGAATTATCGAAAGGCGTGCTGCTCGAAGTTCCGTACCGCTGGAGTGATCTGTAACGTTTAAACTACATTTAAGCTCAGGAATGTTGGTGAAAATTCTTTTCTTAACCATGTCATCGAGGGGGCGTATTAGTCTTTTTATGAAACGTAAGACTTGTGCCATAACTCTTTTTGCTACGAGGAAGGAGCTGAAGTGCTTCCAATCAAGTATGTCGGTGATTCCGGGGGTTTCACTTGCTACAGCATTAACGGTCGGATATTTGTTGTCAACTGCACTATCTTCCGATGAATCTTCGTTCAGAGCAAGGTGATATGTTGTGGTGTCCCATTCCTCTACTGGTTTAGTCAAAAAACTTGGGCCATTCCACCAAATATGATTATCAAGTTGTGCCTTAGAGAGCCCACGAGTCCCCGCATCTGCAGGGTTATCTAGAGTGTTCACATAAGCGAAGGTTACCATAACGCCTTTTTGCCTTAGTTGGTGGACGATGCGGCGAATCTCGCGCAATCTGTTTGTGACTAGAACTCCTAAACCTGCTGTCTTGGACGAACCTAGCCAATTGAGCACGATTTGTGAGTCAGAAAATACATATATTGTCCACGGATCTTCAGTGATGCGGGACTCTAGCGCCTGTGTAACGGAAAGGGCAAGGCGCATTGCCAAGGTCAGCGCGTTCATTTCCAATTTTGGCATCGTGGTAACTGATTTTATAGAAGGCAACTTGCCCTTTGCCATAGCCAAAGTGGACGAAACTTCGTTGAAAATGTAAGCACATGCAGCAATTGCGTTCTCGCTGGCATCTGCAAAAACGGCCAGATTGCGCGGAGCGCTATAGCCACTAAAGCGTCTAGGGAAAGATTTTTGAAATCCATCCATATTTTTGGTAATAGCGTTCCATTGGGCGCAGACTGTTGGTGGCAACTCCTCGTCCCATGTGAACCGTTGCTTCCAGAGATCTTGCTGGAACTTTTTTGCTGGCATCAGTAAGGCCACGAGCCATCCTAATGGATCGTATATTGAAGCAATTTGTCGCGCAACTAAGCGTTTAGTGAGGGTCTTGATGGAAGGTGCCGGACAGGATATACTCAAGCAATCGGTTTGCGCGTCCCATGGGATTCCCAAGACCTTGTGCATGGTGGAGTTTGCATATGAGTCTTTAGGTAAATGGTCACGTAAAGTGGCATCATTGGAGAGAAATTCTCTCAGATTCATTCCTATTTCCTTAAATATTTGATGCACCTTCTGGGATTTTTCTCTTGACTCTCTTTCGGTTCTGCTGGAGAGCACAAGGTTGTCGACATATAGGTTTTCCCGAATTTCTTCAGCGAGGTCACGATCTTGCACCTCATTATTGAGATGATGCTGAATAGTTCCACTGAGGAGATATGGGGAAACGTTGAGTCCAAAGGTTACCCGAGTGAAGCGCAAAGTTGTAATGTTGTCTTCATCAATTGGCGCAGTAAGATCTTTCACCCATAGGAACCTAGTCGCATCTCTATCAACCTCCTGCAGGTGAATTTGGAGGAATGCCTTTTCAACGTCGGAGATAATAACATATTTGGGTATTCGAAACCTTAGCAACATAGCGTACAGGTCAGGAAGTATAAGGGGACCTTGATGGAGGACATCATTTAAGGATGGACTTTCTTTGAAGTGTGCAGAAGCATCAAATACTATGCGCAATTTGGTGGTTTCCTTATGAGGTGTTATCACTGGTTGATGAGGGATATAATGCAAAACAACACCGTCTGCACATGGGGCATTGGGAACCTCTTCTATTATTCCCTTTTCTTTTTGCTCCCTAAAGGTTTTGTCGTAAGCTTCCATAAGTGCAGGTGTCTTTTTAAGAAACTCAATGACTGAATGTAACCGTTTGAGTGCAATGGCTCTATTCGTTGGCAATGGGGGGTGATCTTCTTTATATGGGAAGCGCACGTAAGTATCCATCTGGGCGTTTTTGAATAGTATCCTCGAAAAACGCGGCAACTTTGGCGTTGATCGCCTCTTTTTCAGCGTTTTTCGTCCCGGTGAACTCACACACACCTGCGGAGTCCATGGTCCAATATTTGTCCCATCGTTCCAAATCTTCATCAAAATGAACGAGGGAGTTCACTATTGTGGGGGGTTCTTTGGCTTCCTTTTTCGTGCAAGTAGGCTCTCGCGTTTGTTTTCCTGTGAGCAAATAGCCTAGCTTAGAAGGGATAAGTTGTAAGCCTGAGGGTAGTTTATATCGTGGATCTGGGACATCCAAAAGTGTCCACAGTTGGTCACATCCCAGAAGAATCTGTGGCCTCGATATATGTCCCCCCTCCAACTTCGACAGGCGTATCTTACGCTGCGCAATAAATGCCAAATCCCTGGTCTCAAGTTGCGCAACCTTGCTAACTGCCATAAGCCGGGGTGCAGTGCGCAGGCGCAGCGTATGTTTTGTACCATGCATATCCCACACTTCCAGTGTGGTTAGGTCAGATGTGATGTGCTTGGGCTTCTCTGCACCGAAGCTATACACATTGAGCTCCTTTTGGGCATTGCGCACCAGTCCTAATTGGTCAGCCAATTCGCTAGCGATAAAAGATTCATCTGCACCAGTATCTAGTAAAAGCTCGACTTCCTTCCACTGATTAGTTACCGGGTGCTTAACTTTGGCCACGCCGGTTAATAGGAGGACACTATTTTTGCCATCGTGCACAGCCACTTCTTTCCCCCAAGTCTCCAGATTCTTACTTGTGGAAAGGAGGGCAATTGGGTTGGTACCCTGGCTGGGTTCCTGTAAGCCATGTCGTTCGGGTGCGCATATTTCGGTGTCCACCGAGTGCGCCTGTGCAGATGTGGGCTTTCTAGACTGCTGATTTCCACTAGAAAAAGCGCGTTGGCGTGTTTCTATTTTTGCTGGATTTTCATTTGGTCCCTTTTTGCGCTGTTCCTGTTGAGGTGGATTGAAGCGCAAAACTTTTTGGCGCGAAGGGCAGAGCGTGTGATGATGTTTTTTGCCATTACATGATTTGCAACCCTCTCTGGTGCAAGATTTTGTATAATGACCCGATAGGCCGCAATTCATGCACCTATCCTGGTCACGAAAAAATTTCCTCCTATCTTCCACTGATCTGAATTTTGTGCATGCCCATGACTTATGGTCACTAGCGCCGCAGAAAATGCAAGATGAGGTTCCTCTTTGAACATAGTTTGGTTTAGGACCCCCCTTAAGATCTGAGGAACGAATTTGGTTCGACTTATTAGTCTTCTGCATCATATAGTTAATCCGCTCTTCAGTTTCAATCACTTTCTCCAGGTCTGCCAATAACTCGCGCATAACCCAGGTATTTTCATTCGATGATCCCGTAAGACGCCGCTCTAGCACCTTGCGTTGGATATCGGGGCGGAATTTTGACAACACTTTCTGTGTAATGAAGGACCCATTGAGGGAAACCCCTTTCTGTTCTAACTGGGTCACTGTTGGTAGGATGCATTCGAGGAGGCTTCTTTGTTCTTCTATCGTCGGCTTTTCAGCACGTGCGCTTTCAAGCCGTGATTGCAATGAATCGATCAATCGTGACTCATTACCGTATTTTGCGCAAAGAGCACTAACAGCATGCGTGTAATTGTCAGCCGTTACATTGAATCTGCGCAAACAATCGCGTGCCTCTCCTCTCAAGGCGTTCATCAAATAGTTGAATTTAATAAGAGGTGGGAGAGGTTGGCTGTGGATGTTTGCCTCAAAAAGAGTCCAGAAATTGTCAAACTCCCAGACTTTGCCGGAAAACGTGGGCACTGGAATGGCAGGAAGCATCGGTTTGGATGCCCCTATGTGCATAGTAGGAGAATCGTTAGCGTTAGAGGTTTGTGGGTCGATTTTGGGAGCATTCTGTGCTCCAACTAATGCAGCCTCTAACGTGGTGGCTAAGATTTGCGCAACGTCAAGAATGGTGTGCGCTTTATCTACGTGCTCCTGCGCCTGATCATGTTGCTCTTGTGTAAGCGCATCACCCAGGGAGTCTACCGATGCCACGAATACGGCCAGTGCATTTTCTACTAATTTGGCAGTAGTGATTAGTGCAAATACAGAAGAGTGCATTTTTTGATTTGTCTCGGGGTTTTGAAGAGATGACAGTGGTATTTCTTCTAGACTCTTACACTCATCTGCCAAACGTTTCAAATTATTGCAGTGCCTTGTGAGGGTTGCTTTGTTTGATCTCAATGATGTGGGACCGGACATGGAGGCAAAGGGTGCTAATTGAGACTATGCTATTTGAAGAAAATTCGGTGAAAGATAGCAAAAGTTCCTTTGTGAATGAGAACTAATGGACTCTTGCCAAATCGAATCGTTTGAACGATGTAAGTAGAAATTCAGAAAATGGATGTGCAAGAATGAGAATTTCTAGGGTTGTAGGATGTATGGCGCACCCTCAACTGGCGCCGTAGACCAAGAAATGAAGAAAATGCAATTAAAGGCGTACCGTTCGTTTCGGTCCAGATCCTTGGATGGGACCGATGCACCATATAAGAATTTATAGATATTGTATATATATAGTGCAGCTCTCGTGCCACGCGGAATTACTCTCGATCAAATGTGTTATATCCTCGATACAATAACACGTACCCAAGGCGCACTTTATCTGATAAAATACAGAATTAATACGAGATAAAAACAGCGAATAAATGTAGAATAAGGGAAGATCGGTGCAAAGCTGACGCTGAAGACTGGAACCCAGAGGACCGTCCCGGGGTCCCTTTATGCCGGTCCATGCAGCTGGCAGTTTCTTCTTTTGTCCCTTTCGACTTCTTACTCCGGCGAAGGAATGCGCACGTGCTGTGACGAGCATCTGAGATTCCAATCGATTAGGCTAATTCAGGCTAACATATACAATGATTAATAATATTGCTTATAAAAATCGACCGTGAGATCGCGGTAAAACCGCGATAAATGAATCATTATGAACAGAGTTCATGGCGATCGTCCAACTGAGTACGAATTGGCATAGTAACTGCGTAACAGCTCGTTAACTTGCATAACCATGTCGGAAACCGACCGTCAACTCGTTGGCCAATAGAACAAACTTTTAAATCTCGCAGATACGGATGTAGCTGCGAGCATAGCGTTGGGTAATGTTCGGTAGTCATATGGGCGACATAAAATATCAAGGTGCTAGACTGTTGCACATCCTGCGCTGTTACTGTTCGCTTGGAGTGGCAATCTATCCTGAACTGGCTGCTAGTGGACTAATTTAACAAACGTGTAACGGGAAGGTGCACAATGTCACTTCACGCGCAGCCGCGAAACGTAGAACAATGGCTCGCTTACTGTGGATGGAACGCCGAGTGACAAAACATTATACATGCGGAATGTAATGAAGCAATTGATGAAGATTACGGCAGCAATAATTCCCCGGAGGGGGTTTAGGTGTTGCCCAACTTCCAACGAGGACCGATATTCAAATTCGAACGCAAATATTAGGTTGGAAAGAAAGTTCTGAAACACTCAATTTGCGCTCTTTCTGGATTTTTCCCGGATCTCTGCAATCTTCTATGGGTGGTATCAGGGTCAACCGCCCGTTGCGCAAAGAACAACGAGGGGGTCGTATTCAGCCGAACGAAAGGGAGGGGGTCGTATCCACAGACGGGGCTGCAAGACGGCTTGAAAAGTGCAGTGTCCGGGAGTGCACTTTCACCTCTAATGTTCTCCAGGAGCTCTGCACCGTGCAGCTGTCGGAGAGTCACACAGACAAGAGCTCCATGGGAGCATTAGAGCATGCAGAGCATTATAAGTCTCACTATCAGCCATTATTATCCTTAATACACGGACGGCGCTTTCGCTCGACAGCATAGATCAAGATTACAATAGCCAAAAACTTTGTTACAGCGTAGTGCAAAAACATGGTCTGTCTTCGATGATCGAACATTCCTGAAATCCCAAGGAGAACAAAGTGTAGAGCAGTTCATGGGGAAGTGAAACAAGAGTACCATATAACAGTACAATGCAACTCAGTCACGATACTAACACCTTCTTCAGGAAAATGGAGGACTTTCAAATGCGAGTGCGACTTCTGTCCACAGACAGGTGCACGGCGTATACCCGAGCAGGCGTTTTCCCATAAAAACGCCTTCTCTGTCAGCGGCCGTGAGCAGACGAATGGTCTTACTTTGCGATGCTCGCACCACCGACACTATAAATATTAGATTTCCTGTATATACGAATTTATATACAGTGCGCGTCAATTTGTATATGCCACCCCCTGATTTTTTCAGTTTTCTGACTTATTTGGAAATTTCGTAAATCGGCATAGCAACCATCGTTTTCGGCGTGTCGGAAAACTAAGAATGGTGTTGTTTGATTTTGGTTAACGCGTGGATTTGAATTGCTCTGTTCTTTTGAAGAAAATGGGCCGCGTCAATTGCTTATGCCATCCTAAAGTTTCTTCAGAATTTCTCATGTCTCTAACGCTATTCAGCTACGGTGTGCATGCAGTACAAATGAGGAAATCCTCCACTTATGCAATGCACACAAATGGTGGAGCATTTATAACTAATTAGTTCGGAATATTAGCCCTAATACTGGACGGTAGCAGCATGAAAACGCTTTATCAGAGAAAGTGCTGTGTGCTCACTCTTGCGATCGCTCCTGCTGCTTATTGTAGAACTCATCGAGGAGTGTATCCAGGCAAAACTGGGGAAATTTAAGTGCTCAAGGAGCTCTTAAATTCTCATTTTCCCGCCCGCTTCGAATCCGTGGTCAACTTTATTTGTGGTCTCGGCTCCCTGCGAAGCTCGAAGCGTTCACGCTCACAAAGTCTCTGTTCAGAGAGAATATGAGTTGCACTCACAATCCGCGTAGTACCCATCACTGAACTCGATAGAAGTTTTCTTATCAAGGCGATGCAATGATGGCCCATGCCACCACTTCGGTGTCCCGTACAAAGTTACAACTGGCCCATGTCATCATTTTCGTTCGCTCGGTACGAAAATTTTTCCAGAGAGAATCCGACAAAGTTCGGCGATGGGTACTACGCGGGATTGTGAGTGCAACTCATATTCTCTCTGAACAGAGACTTTGTGAGCGTGAACGCTTCGAGCTTCGCAGGGAGCCAAGACCACAAATAAAGTTGACCACGGATTCAAAGCGGGAAAATGAGAATTTAAGAGCTCCTTGAGCACTTCAATTTCCCCAGTTTTGCCTGGATACACTCCTCGATGAGTTCTACAATAAGCAGCAGGAGCGATCGCAAGAGTGAGCACACAGCACTTTCTCTGATAAAGCGTTTTCATGCTGCTACCGTCCAGTATTAGGGCTAATATTCCGAACTAATTAGTTATAAATGCTCCACCATTTGTGTGCATTGCATGCATAAGTGGAGGATTTCCTCATTTGTACTGCATGCACCCGTAGCTGAATAGCGTTAGAGACATGAGAAATTCTGAAGAAACTTTAGGATGGCATAAGCAATTGACGCGGCCCATTTTCTTCAAAAGAACAGAGCAATTCAAATCCACGCGTTAACCAAAATCAAACAACACCATTCTTAGTTTTCCGACACGCCGAAAACGATGGTTGCTATGCCGATTTACGAAATTTCCAAATAAGTCAGAAAACTGAAAAAATCAGGGGGTGGCATATACAATTGACGCGCACTGTTATGGCACCGTAATAAATTTGTATTGCTTTACAATTATTTACGTGTCGTGGTATAGGGATGAGGAATTAATATTATCACTGGAAAGAGGTGGAAGGTAACTAACCAACAGGAATTGGAGGAATATTTATCGTTATTGTATTTATATTCATGTACATAACATACTATCACCACGCGTAAAGAGCAAGCTACCCAAAAAATTCTGCGAACATCCACCGGGAGGGTTTCTCAGCACACACCTGGAAAAGGGTTTGCAGACGCGCTATCAAAGTTAAAAGGTCTACAAGGCCTCACAACTCAGGCAGACGAGAGATGTATCAGCGCGATTGACTTCCTTCAAAATGCTGAAGGGTGACGCCAAGAATTATAGAATTCCAGGGAACATTTGAGCCGTAAACGCGGTTTTACAGTGGATCCGCCTTTCACATGACTATTAGTACCCTTCGAGTATTTTATGAATAGAAATTTGTGATGTTTTAATTATGATAGATATAACAATTATTAAACAATGGTAATGTTCCGAATGCTTACCGAAAAGCTTTTGTGCTCCGTTGGTGGGCAAGGCCGGGGAGGGGCCGGGGAGGGGACGGGGTGCAGCTGCTGGCAATTCGGACCGCTTGTCCGTGCTCATCAATGCAATGGTAGCGTTCGGTGTCAAACGAAAAATTTGTGAGCCGAAGAGATAGAGGTGGGAGAAGAGAGGAAGAACGAATTTTTTCCGTGAAAAATTGGAATTCACGAGCTCACCCTATCTCGATAAGAGCACGCAGACAAGTGGATGGGAGTAAATTCAAGCTCGCATTTTATCTTAACCTGCGTCAGCGTGGGACATGCAATGTGCAGTGCAGTTGTTGCATAGTTTGTTAGAAGTGTGGGTGTCCGCACTTGTTCAACTGCCGTTTGAAGGAGACCTGACACCTGCACATTGCTCTGATCCGATTGCGCATCTTGTTAGTGCCAACGTGGATTACTGTGACACTCTACGTGCATGCTGAAGATTCGCTCTTGTGCTGACAGGCGCCCTTGGTTGGTTCCCCTGACAGAGTCCGCGATCCGTAGCGCGACTCGCACGAATCGCGTGACGAATCGCGGACTTTGACCAGGGTCAACCGTGACGTTCGCACATTTTCGAAAATTTCGCGACCCCCTCCTTTAGGGGGGTCTCGATGCGACCCCCACCACCACCATGACTCAGGAGGCTCCCCCAATACAACCCTGCCTAGCCTACCCCGACCGCCACCCTCGCCATCATGGCTGCTTCTATAGTATTTGATTCTGAGACCAGCCCATACACAACCTAGCTCCGTGTGCCACGAAACGGCTAATTTTCTCTCCTTCCACCTAACCACCTATCCTAACCCCATCCCGCCCCACGCTGTACATTACATCCTCCAAAATCACTCAAAAACCAATGCCTCACCCACCTCCACTCAACAAATTACTAATC